CACAGCAAACCACTAGAAATAGAAATCTTTGTATCAAGCCACACCTGAGCAGTAAGTACTTCATATCTACTCAACCCATATCCACCACAGTCAGACTTTGTGCTCTGCAGAGCTAAGCTGGCCAAGCTTTTGCATGATCCCTGCCAAAAGCAGCTGGTCTCATACCTTGCCCCGGGTTTCCTCTCTCTTCCCTATTCTTGGAAATCCAAGAGCTCAGTGCACACAGTCCTAAAGTCAGAGGGGACAGTCTTTAGAGAACCAACATTTACAGTAACCTACAGGACTCCTCAGATCAGCTGACAGCACATGTTTTCCTTCCACGTGGTCCTTAAACCGGCGTCGGGCTTCTTCTAACGTCGCCTTGTGCCCAGCTTTTCCTAGTTTGCCCAAGACCAGCCCTCTCAGAAGTGCATCCAGATGACCTAACGAGTGAGGAGGAGGAGGAAAACAGTATTATTTGGAGACACAACTCGAGAATTAAGTGTTCTTCCACCTAAAGTCATCAGGAAAGAGCTGTGTAAGAATCCTTCCACATGCTTGAGGAGATCTAAAGAAAGCAGGTCTTTTCTCACCCTCCTTAGTGCCAATGGAGAATGCACTGATTTTTTTAGGGCAATAGGGTCAGGAGAAGATGATTCCAGCCCAAACACCAGGCTTGGTCTGTAACCTGAGCTAAGGCAGTGCTAGTAACCATTTGCACCTACAGCAGGTCTAGGACAAGTAAACATGCACATAACATGGCTTTCCATCCTCGTAGTCTCCTGAGTTTCAGGTGCTCCAAGAGATGCAAAGCTAAAGAAGATTTGTAATCCAGGCATGGAAAAGTGTTACCTTTTTAACTTGTGCCTAATAACAGGGGGTTATTGTGGGGGGTTGTGTTTGTCTGACTGGTTTTAAGCATGGAAATACCCCTGAACACCTACTTCAGCCTCGTCTTCCTCCCCTTTCCCAAAACCTTGGTGGCTCATTTACAGAGGAGTTTTCCAAAACCACTACTGGATTTCAGAGCATAAATTTCCTACCCTCTCCAGGTTTGGGGTCCCAGCCCAGTCTCTCCCCTATTGGTGAAAAGACATCTTTCACGAACACCTGGATTTCCTCATAGAAGTCTGTGTGGGACAAGAGAGTTGAGAGAATCCCCAGGTTACAGCTGAGGTCGCTCCACACAGTATAATTGGGCTCATTCACAAAAGCTTCCATGACTTTTAGAACCTCTACAGTGCTAATGATTCCAGCTCGGGCCTGGGAGAGGGAAAAGACACAGGTTAATCTTACTTCCAAACAGAATTAAGGCATTTAATAGCTCATCACATTATTTTATAGCCTTCAGTGTGCACAGCCTGCATATAAACTCTGGTTTCTCTGTTGTGGGGCTCTGCCAAGGTGAGTTAACACCAGTCAAAGCACCTCAGCTGTCTGCTCATGGCACACGATGCTTTTTATACACAGGTGAGCACTTTACAAGGAGACAGCTACACAATTATAAGCACATTTTACAACCAAGAAACAGAGGAAAGAAAATGACTGAACAGAATTGCAGCAATGCTGGCAAGCAAAAGCAAACCCCCAGAGTTATTCTCATGCTACACCCACCAACAATCTTATTTTAACTAAAAGCTGTAAAGATTTAGAGATTTCAGTTTTGCTCTTTGAGAATGAAAAGCTGCAGAAGTCATTTTTGCTTCCTGCTTCACCCATGAAGCAGTACAAGAAGTACCACTGCCTTTCCATCCCTGCCAGGAGGATTTGATGTGAGCTGCTTCACAGAGGCATGAAAACACTTCTACACTCAGTGCAGTTGATAATACCTCCTCTGTAGGTACCTCCAACCATTTTTGTTAATCTGGAACCAGACCAGTAATTTATGGTACTGGAAAAGAGGTGAAGATCAAGTTTTATTATCTAAGCTATATTCACCTATGATAAAAACATGATTAATACTGAAACCAAAAGAGGAGTCTAACACAATGTTCCTACGTGTATCATTTGCTCATTGGGGTGCCCAGAGAAGCTGTGGCTGCCCCATCCCTGGCAGTGTTCAAGGCCAGGTTGGACACAGGGGCTTGGAGCAACCTGCTCTAGTGGAAGGTGTCCCTGCCTGTGGCAGGGGTTGGAGCTGGAGGAGCTTTAAGCTCCCTTCAACCCAAACCATTCCATGATTCTATGATGTGGGAAACAACTCAGGCTGCAGCCACCTCCTCCCGTGGAGGACAGTTACAAGCCCAACTGAATAAAGCACATGGTGCAGACAGGATTTCAGTCGAGGGGATCATTGAAATCTCCTTATTTTGAGGAGTTAAGAGAAAGCAGGTTCTCAAAATCCTTTTGGAAGTAAGAACCCTACAGTATAATACACCCCCTCCAGAGTGCAACAGGAGTTCTGGACACTGCTTCCATAGGGTTTAAGTCTTAGAATACAAGTTAGAACTTGTCAAGCTCCTAGCTGTGATGTATGCAATAAGCCCAAAGGCACCTTGCCTCCAGAAGCCTCTTCAGACCCCCATTTCTGCAGTTACTGTAGCTCTCCTATTAAAGAGAACACCAAAGGGTTGCTTACCAGAGAGAAAAGATCATTCTGCAGGCCAAGCCTGTCCACAGGGGGTAGGGAGAGGTCTTTGATGGCTGGTATTAAACTCTCCAGCATGTCAGGGCTATACTGGGTACGGTAAAACCCAACTGTTCCAAGGTTTAACTGAAAAGTACCAAAAGAGTGAACAAGAATTAAAAGTCAGGCACAAAGAAGGAAATGCTCTTTAGTTTCTGGACCATGAGACCTTTCTTAGTTTTGTTGGTGTCTGTAGACTAGCCTGGGAAGGCAAAGGACTGCACTGAGCAAGTGTTACAGAGAGGAGCTAATACTCAGTAGCAGCACAGAGAGGCCCCTCCATAGGAAAACCAAGATTGCAGGGGGAAGAGGGGGGAATAAAAGAGGTAAAGGACATGTGAGGGCACATGCCAGTGACAAACTTCCTGCCAGGAATACGTTCTCCTTTGTGACAACTCACCTTCACCCACTGGTCTGGTTTGATGTCTTTCAAAACCAAGGTGAGCTCTGGTTTGTCCATCAATATTTGCATTTTGGCACAGGTGGGGTCATCACTTGTACAAATACTTATGGGGACCATCCACATGGGGAAATCCTCCCCTGAAAGGAGACACAATAAAGAGGAAGGCCTAAGGACAAAAAGAGGGTGCACCCAGCACTGAGATGCTCTGCCTGATGTTCAAACAAGGCTCAGCAGCAGTTGAAGCAAGGCTTAGACTGACATCTAAAAAGGCACAAATCTGATGGAAAGGGGCACTTCTAGAGCTAAACCCCAAGAATCTCCAGATCCCCTTTCAAGCCAAACACTTTCATTTCTCTGAGCATGAAAGATGGGTGGAATCTGTGTCTTCAGACAGTGCTGGCTGCTTCATGAGGCATTTTTATCTCAGCACTACTCTAAAGCCAGCAGCTTCCAGAGCTCCTCAGCTGGCACCAGCCTTAAACTGCCCATCAGAAGAGAAGCACCTGGGAATGAAAACCAAACCAAAGGCTGCAGATGAGCACTGTTCTCCATGCAAGGAGGACGTGGAAACCACACGTGGGAGAGCATCCAAGCTTGGATTTTCTAGTTTAACAAATACTTCAACACCTGAACCTAAGCAGAACCCCTGCTTGTGGTTTCATCTCTCAGAGCCGCAGCGAACACACCACTCCTGCTCTTAGCACTCATCTTACCAGTATATGGGCCACTGGCACAGAATTTCTTCTGGACTAACTTCAACACTTTGTCATCTTCTTGCTGAGGGAGAAAAGAGAAAAGGAAAAGAGAGAGGGAGTGAAAGGAATTCTCAGGACATCTAATCTCAGCTTCTGTGTATCACAATCCACTCCTGTGCCCTCTGTTCGAAGAGCAACTTATATTCTCCTCTAGAAAAAGGAGCTACCTCAAATAATCATTCCAAAGCATTCACCACTGTTACTGTTAAAATACCCCCCCGCCCC